TTGGGCAAGGGGGTAGTGAAGATCTTGGGCAAAAATCAAGTGTAACAATATATACAATATATTAAATTGATTGAATCAAATAAAATCGAATAGAATCGAATCGAATAAAATCGAATCGAATTGAATCGAATAGAATAGAATTGAATAGAATCGAATCGAATTGAATCGAATTAAAATTTTATTCAATTTTTTAAATAAAAGAATCAAATTGAATTGAATCAAATTGAATTGTTTAAATTCGATTCTAAATAGAATCGTTCGGATCCTTAAGTACAATTAACTAATTTTTTAATAGGTTCTAAACCTTTTCCAATAATAAGTTGTAACATATGAGCAATACATGGTTGCCATATTATATTATTTGTTACATATTCTAAATTTTTGATTGCTTTTTTCATATTTGCACCATTATCTGTTGTAATTATAAAAACTTTGTCTTAAAGCTTTCACTTATCTAATATTGCTAACAATGTATTGCTAATATTTTCAGCTGTATATGGATAGCATATATATTCAACTAAAAGAATAATTTCATGAAGTTTAAATTCAGAATCTAAATAAGAACATGTAACTCCTAAAAAACCTTGTCAATTTTGTTCCATCCAAAGGTTATAAGTTAAAGATACAGTATTTGCATCATTTTCTAATTTTTCTATAATTAATGGCATTGAATAATTATATGTTCGATGAATGAGTTTTTTAATATATTTAAAATTGTAAATTTTGAAATTTTAAGAAATAAATTTTTTAAAAGCTAAATTTTAAACAATAATAAGAGGTAAGGAATTATTTATAATCCAATTTGTAAGATATTAACAAAGTTCAAGTTGACAGAATTCATGATAAGATGTTTCAAAAATATTAATTTTATTTTGTTTAATTTGTTCTTCAGTTATTCCATGAATATTTGTAAGATGAATGAAGCAATTACTGGTTAATGTGCTGACTTTATATGTTTTTTCATATTTTTTTTCATTTGTTATTTCTACTTTACAAATCGCATATCATATATTTTCTTTATAAATCAAGTCAAAGTATTGTCAAATTCAGCTTCTAGTTTTACTTTCTCATTGAGTTTTATTAAGTTTGGTTTTTTTTTATTAAGTTGTTGTTCTGTTTCAATGTCACTGTTATTTATAGTTGATACTTCATTATCACTATCAAGTGTTGATATTTTGATATTATTATGAGTTGCTAACATCATATCAATAATAAAAAACAATTTGAATTTACATATAATCAAAAATTTATATAAAATACTTTATTTATTATTTTTCAAATTTAACGAACAATTTGTAAAATTCATATAATAATGATGATCATTCTTTAAGTCTGTATTATAATATAATCTGGATAATTCTAAAATATATGGATTTATTATTTACAGATCATATCTTTAACAAGCATAAAGCATTAAAAATTTATTATTTTTTCAGACAAAATTCTACATAACAGAACAAGGTCTAACTTTCCTCATTTATAAATTCCAGTGATTGACTACCTTCCTCTACATCGGGCATAATAAAATTACTATTATTTTATAATGCAGTTAAATTAAGGGCTGAGGTAACATCTGTCAAATTATCTAAATTTCCACTTGAATTTTCATTTGTATAATCTACATTATGAATTGAATTTCCATCCATATTATTTTGTGTTTCATTTCTGGCCTCAAATATGATAGCATCCTTATTTCGTAAGTAAGGTGGTAGCTGAAGAGATGATGTTTCAATAGGAGGTAAGTAAACACCAATATTTTGTTCAGGATTTTCTATGTCAGAATTATTTACATTAGTGTTATTTTTATAACTCAAAGAGTCTAGGATCCACCTATTATGGGTTGAAGTGGGATAAAATGATTATCTTCAACTTCTTCTAGTAGCAATAGATGAGCTTCAGTTTATCCATTTGACAGAGGATCTCATACCTAATACACATTCAACTTTCTTAATTAATAATGCTGGTGTTGTACTTCTCATATATCTATTTCGCCTATGGTTTGAGGTATTAATAGTACAGATTCTATCGAATTCATCTTTGGACCTCTTCCAGAACATGTACAAAACTCATCAAAGTATTGCGTATCCAATCGATTTCTCTGTGCTCCACGTCTACCTGACATATATTCATATATTGCCTACAGACCCATTGCAAAGCAACAATTAGGTAATTAAATTTTGTTAATAGCGAGCTAAATAAAAAATAATACTTTATGACTCGTAGAGTTGCCTCTAAAGGACCTGTGCAAACTTACATTATAACTTCAAATAAGATTTGAAAATTTTTCTTTACAATGATAACTAATAAAATTAGTATTATGCTTTTAATTAATTTCATCTGCAATACTATGCCAAAATACATTTCAATTTCTTCCAAAGTTATAATACTCTATATTTCTATTTGTTCTTTTTTCAATTAGAGTATATATATGCACATCTATCCATTCTACCATTTTCAACCAGAGTTCTACCAGAGTTCAACCCATGTTCAATCCATATTTATGTTTTATTATATATTCATTATAAGAATATATAACCAGACTTCAACCAGAGTTCATACCATTTTCTACTTATTTCATGTCACTCAAAAGAATATTATAACTAAACTTGAATTAGTATTACATTTGAAATTTTGTATAATTAGATATGATAACATCTTCACTTCATGAGACTGAATTCATATGCCTCAGATTTGTATATCTCGGACTGGATGATCTCAAATAGTGAGTATCGTATATTCCTACCTATTTATTACCAGAAAATTAAATTACAGTATATCGATATACTTGTAATACATGTGAGTGATATTATATAAGTTAATCTATGCTTTCACAATTACTATTTGGATTGGATTTTGATAAGTTTTCCAACATTAGAGACAATAGGTTTTTGCATACTTTACTGAAAGTGATCATTTTTTAACAATGTAGTAGCAATGTAGTAGCATTATAGTAGCAATATAGTAGTGGT